AAGACAACACCTATGAGTTAAATTAGTCAAAGAGAAAAAACTGAGAAGAGGAATGAAAACAAGCATAAGGTTACATTACTGATATAGTGCTGCTCAAGAATGTTTGAGAAATAAAGAGTAACAGATCTTAATTTTATATCTTTGTTTTTAATTTTCGGCACCCAATGCATCTGATTGGTTTGTTTTTTTTTTTAATGTGCCATTAGAGTCTCCTTCTGAGTCTCTTTTTAAAAAATATTTACATATATTAATTTAAGTTTTATTTAAATCAATAACATTCTTCCATATCAGCAGTGACCAGCCAGAACTTAGTATATTAATAGAAATATGATTTCACTCACAATAGCAACAAAATCTACAAAGTAATTAGGATATAAACTAATGAAGAGTGAACACATCCTTTATAGAGAACTTTTCAAACTCTATTAAAGCACATAAAACAAGACCGAGGTAAAAAAAAAAAGTACCAAATTTATGGATGGGACAAATTAACATTATAGAAATATCATTCTCTTTAAATTAATCTATAAATTTGATGTCACTTTAATGAAAATTTCATCAGGATTTTGTGAAAAACTAGACAAATATTTCTTTTTTTTTACATGTTATTATTCTAAAAATTTCAGAATACTATGGGGGCACAAACATTTAGGTTACATAAATTGCCCTTGTACCATTTGAGTCAAAGCCACCAGTGTGTCCCATCTCCAAGATAGTGTGCATTATACCCATTAGGTGTGAATTTATTGAGTCCCATTTTTGTTTGAGAAATTTTTTTCAATTTTTTTTTAAGTTCAATGGGTTGTACATTTGAGAAGTTTGATTTTTCAAGTGTAACCACATGACACAACAATATTTCAGTCAATGACAGACTGCACATGCTATATGGTCTCACAAGATTATAATGGAGCTGAAAAATTCCTATCCCCCATTGACATCACAGCTGTCACGAGGTTGCAGTGAAATGCACTGCTCACATGTTTATGGTGATACTGGTGTAAACCTACCAGCTGTGCTGTAGATAGCACACACAATTATGTACAAGGCATGATACTTGATACCATAACAAACTGCTATGTTATTGGTTTATGTATATACTATCCTTCGCATCATTAATTTAGAGGGTACTATAATACTACTTATAAAGAAAATATTAACTGCAAAACAGCCACAGGCAGGTTCTTCATGGGGAATTCCAGAAGGCACTGTTATCATAGGAGATGACAGCTCTCTGCATGTTATTGCCACTGGAGACTTTGCAGTGGACAGGATGTGGAGGTAGAAGACAGTGAATCCTGACCCTGTGTAGACCTAGGCTATGTGTGTTTCTCAGTTTTTATTTTTTTTATTTTTTATTTTTTTATTTTTATTTATTTATTTATTTATTTTGAGACAGAGTCTCACTTTGTTGCCCAGGCTAGAGTGAGTGCCATGGCGTCAGCCTCGCTCACAGCACCTCAACTCCTGGGCTCAAGGGTCCTCCTGCCTCAGCCTCCAAGTAGCTGGAACTACAGGCATGCGCACCATGCCGGCTAATTTTTTGTATTATATTTTTAGTTGGTCAATTAATTTCTTTCTATTTTTGGTAGAGACGTGGTCTTGCTCAGGCTGGTTTCGAACTCCTAACCTTGAGCAATCCGCCCGCCTTGGCCTCCCAAAGTGCTAGGATTACAGGCGTGAGCCACCACACCTGGCCTGTCTCAGTTTTTAACTTTCTTAACTTGCAAAATAGCCCACTGTGTACGCAAGAACTTTTTGTTTCTTTAAACCAGCCTCCACTTTAGGTTTGTTGACCTGAGTAAATGACTGAGGCAATAATCTCAACCAATGGAGTTTTTTTTTTTTTTGAGACAGAATCTCACTCTGTTGCCTGGGCTAAAGTGCCATGGCATCAACATAGCTCACAGCAACCTCAAACTCCTGGGCTCAAGCAATCCTTCTACCTCAGTCTCCCGAGTAGCTGGGACTACAGGCATGTGCCACCATGCCCGGCTAATTTTTTGTATATATTTTTTGTTGGCCAATTAATTTATGTCTATTTTTAGTAGAGACGAGGTCTCGCTCTTGCTCAGGCTGGTCTCGAACTCCTGACCTGGCGCGATCCTCCTGCCTCGGCCTCCCAGAGTGCTAGGATTACAGGTGTGAGCCACCGCGCCCAGCCCAAGAGAAAAGAAATAATTCCATAAGCAACTAAAGTTCATGTTTTAAATATGCTTTGAAACTTCATTCCAGAGATATTTGCAGAAATATTCTCACTGAATAGCAGAAAAGACTTTTATCCTGTAGCACAGCCAATGAACATACTTCAGTGACTATGGGCAGCTAAAATCATAAATGAATGGAGAGCATTCATCACTCTTCCTAGGGTGTGAGTACTCTATGGCTCTGTACTTCTACATCTATTGTTTTTGCCAAAGTAAAAAACAAACAAACAAACAAAAAAAAAAAAAACAGAGTTGGTTTATGTTTTTATCCACTAATTTACTCATTGTCTGAGCATTCCTTTGAGCATTCAATTGCTCATGTTATCAGAGCTATTCCTGTCTTACTCTTTTAGTACCAGGCTTGTCTGATGGGGCCAGCTCATAAAAGGCATCTATCAACCTGCTTTGTCTGCTCAAGCTAAAGACTCATTAAAGTGCTTTGAGACGTAAGTTGTGAAAGGGCTTCCTTTTATACATGCATGTTTGTGTTTATTTGTTCTGATACCGCGGTTAGGCTACACTGGCCCTACGCTGGGCTTCGTTTCTGGCAAACTTTTTGTTTCTTTTTGCTGACAAAGCAACCTTTTTGTTTACCAAGAAGCATCTTCATTGGGTTCGTGCCAAATGAGTATCTGTCTGACTCCTCATATCTCTACTATTTAACTATTTCCGTAGGATGCACAGCTACAAACTCGGTCAATATGTATTAGTTTCACTCTTCAGTTTGTATGCCTACTTACACAGAGTGTTAACTCCCGCCACCCTGGCGGCAGACGCCATCTGAGAATACTCAAAGGAGCAGGAGCTGTTCATGGGGAGGGCACTGTCACAGGCTGATTGACAGTATCAGAGCTGTAGATGGAACTAATGGCAAGCACACATGGTTCTTGCTCATGCCTTCCCACTCCCTGGCAATAGGCAGTGACGGCTCAGGATCATAACAGTGGAACCCAGCAGGGCTAATTTTCCACTATGTGTGGCATGACCGTGCCTATAGGCATACATCTTATTGAGCACTTTTCTTTTAAGCCACACAAATATAAGGCTGTCACTTTGTGGAACAATACACTTTCTCTGGCTATGAGAGAGTCAAAGCTGATGCCATTCATTAGAAACATTTCTGAATTACATGACTTAGATTCTTCGACCAAGATAAAAAACTGTTTCTCCTCTTTGTATCATATTTAAACAAGATGAATTAAGCTAATCTATATGACCAACAAATAGAACTACTGAAATAATAGGTCCCGATCAGTATTATTTTGCCATAATTTGATGAATACTATGGGAATATTGTTTTATTAATACTATAATAATAACTGGCATCTGAAAATTATTTTATAAGCCAAGCATGGCTTTGTCCTTTTTGAAAAAGTTATTAATTCATTGCTTATAATGACTCTGTGATATCAGTAGTATCATTCATCACCATTGTGCAGATGAAGAAACTAAGGCACAGAGAGGTTAAGTAACTTGCCCATGATTGCACAGCTATAAATCGTAGAACTGAAATTCAAACTCTCACTGCCCAACTCCAGAGCATGTGCTCTTAGCTGCTATGCTAGTCTGCTTCATCAGCCACCATCACATTAATTTAATTGGACTCTAAATTCAGATAAACAATTTTTTCTTAGTTGCAAGGAAATCATTTAACAAGCCCATATTGCAACGGATGGGAGGCGAGTCGGAATCTAAATCTGAGAACCCTAAACCGTGTGTGACCACCAAAAATATTGAGTATTCTGAGGCTTGTAATATTACAAGTTTGTATTTTAAAATAACGGGTCCTATTGTGAATAAGTGTAAAAATGGCACGCTAAAGAGGAGAATATCCAACAAATGTTAGAAATTCCTTTAACGGCAATGAATGAGTGAGCACATATTTCCTGAAACACTAAATGAGTTGATTTGCTTTTAAAAAGGGCTAAACGCTGAACTTTGTTCACAAAACTTATCCTGAAAGTACTTTGTAAATATGCTGTTCACTGAGAGTCAGCCTGGTTCTTTCCTTTGGCAAACAAGAACGGTAAGATACAGTCTCAGTTGCTAGAGTAGGAATAGATCATTTGTGATTTTCATGAAAGCTGTACTGTCCTGAGTGTTTTTGATTTGGGGGAAACATGGGTTTGCAGTTCCCATTCTCTAGGTACATTCTCAGCAAATGAAGTGATTCCAGGAAGCTACGGTTACGTAGGTCCTGCCAGAGAGAGATGCAGCTACTCAGGCATCCCTTATAAGCCTAAAATAACTGGTAAAGTGACGGCAGCCAGAAACCAGTGAATTATCATACCATTGATTCATGTGGCAGGCCCTTCATTCCGATGGCTTTCACACTAACTCTCTCCTTCTTTTGGAATTAAGAACTACACATAAAATCCTATTCTCAGGTTCATTCCTTGAATTCTCCTGGCAAACGGCTGGTCATTTTCCCCACCCAGATGCCACGAGCTGCAGAAAACAAGACTGAGTACTTTCGGGCCATGACATAGGTGTTTGTATAGAAATGAACTTCTGTTAAAAAAAATCACTAACACTAGAATAAACATATAGGGCACCGAACTGGGGAAAGGTTGGCATCAAATGAGTACGTAGTATGTATCTGGCAGGAGGGCAGATATGTGTGTTGAGTATGTCTTAAAGAATTATGTTCTCTACAAGGAAAAACAATTCTATGTTGACCCCAAAATTAATGCAATTGATATCTTTGAATATATTTCCAAACCATTTGTGTGTATGCATGTGTACATAATGTTAGCACTGTATATTATTTGCGTTAATTCTCTCTTCTGTTCGTAGGAATATGTTGCCTTTAAGGTGTGACCTTTAATGTTGCTTTTGTATGTGGCCGAAGTCTCATATAGTAAGGTAAGGCATTTTTGAGAATTCCTTTCTCCATTAGCATGAATATGAGTTCCTATTACTTACTTTCTTATTGATGGCTTCCAGTAGAAAACACAGGATGACCAAATATGAGAAAGACTCTGGAACTCTTGCAGTGAATTTCCATGGTCTGCGTCAGAATTTTACAGAAGGCTTTCTGCTGAACTGGCAGTGAAATGAGAATGAAAACTTGGAATTAGTTTGTTATTTACTTGCAGTTTGATATTTTTTTCACATAGTAGAAAAAAAGATTTCTTTCTTTTCTACTATGTGAAAAAAAATTACATAAAAATCAGGAGAACAGGAGCTGCTAAGAAAAAAATAACCTGCCATGTTAAAGACATTCAGCACTTACTTAGACTCGCAGATGCACAGAATGCTAGAATTGGGCTGTGAGAGCTAAACCTGTTCCAACTCCCTCATTTTGTAGGTGAGAAAGTTGGAGGCTGAACAACGGAAGTGATTCTCCCAGGATAAGCGAGTTTGTGGTTAAGGAGAGACTTTGGCTTCTGCAAAGTGATGCCTGTGTTGGACATGGGGGTTAATGGAACATTAAGTCTCCCTTTGCTTAAGATAGTTGAGCTTAATCACAAGGTTTGGGGTTCTCATCTCTTCCTACATTTGGGTTTCTCTTTTAGTTACTTTCTAGAAACTAGATCAGAAAGAAATTTATTTTCCTTAACCCTTATTTTTGGGTTATAAGTTGAATTTTAAAGAAGTTGGGGAAGAATACTGAACTGCAGAAAGTTAACAGGTTGTTGGTAAAGAAAATCAAAATAATCATAATGCCAATTTCCCTGGGAATTCCCTATGCACTTTGGGAGTAAAAAATAATATTTGTAAAGCAATTTCTAAGTGTACAAATATCAGCTATAGTTTATAATGCACTATTAGTTAGATGGCCTGGGTCTTTTTTCCACCTCCATCGCTCACTAGTGGTGGGACCTCGAGAGTGTTACTTAACCTCTTTGTGTTTCATTTCTTCATTTAAAAAAATAAGGGTTAAAACTGTACCCATCTTATAGGGCCGTGGTGTGGAAGAAGTCAATATATGTAAAGTGCTTAGAACTATGTGCCATTCTAAGCATTTTAAAATTGGTTTTATTATGGTTGCTATTACTATTATTATTCTGTTAGTTGTCCTTGAAAAAGTTTCCTAGCTGCACTGACTTTTTGTTGTATATTTTCTATATCCACTTAATATTTCTACCAAATCCTGCAAGGCTGTTTTGCAGACATTTTATACCTTTGTACCAGTTTGTCACAGCACAAGTGAAGGACGTTCTGGCTGACTGTAATCCACAAACCAGGGTTTTGATTTTCTCCCATTTGTACACACTGGTGAACAGATATGTGAAAACAACTCCATGGGGCTTTCATTGGGGCCAAAATATCCAGGCTTTGTGTAACTCTAAACTAGCATGCACACACATTGGACCTTTAGGAGACAAAAGAATGCCAACTATACCATCATTATTTCAGGAATATGAGGTATGCGTTTTGATAACTACCCAAAACAAGAAAAGGCAGAGATGTTTTGTACCACAACTTTTTGAGAAATATTCAGAGGTCTAAGATGTAGTTGTACTTTTCCCAATAGGTAGAGCTTTCAGAATTACCATCTTTGACTATAAACACATTTTTAAAGCAATGACAATAATGTTGTAAAACTATATTACTCATTTTCCCATAGCACCAGCATCGGATACATTAAAGAGGATAAGTTAAAATATCTGTCTGGTGCTTCTTACACAGCCCCTAAATCCCTTCTACTTCTGTATTCCCTCAAATATAATGTAAATATTAGAACAAATTATTTCTAAATACTAACAAGAAATGCAGTAATAAGTAGCAGACAATCAAGTTGAGTCTTGCTGTAGCACTGTGCTAAATTTGTGACAAGCAGGCATGCAAACCTAAAAGACATAATTTACACAAGACTCGGTCCTGTCTATTCTCCAGTTGCTAGAAAAGGAACAAAAGGTGAAAGGACTGAGAGAGAAGATTCTGGGTGAACCCAAGAGTTTTCTCAGTTATACCAATATAACAGGAAGACTGTGATCTGTGTGAAGACAGCTAAGAGAACACCGTGGTTACAGTCTTTCATATACAGTTACTCAAGCACAGACTAGTCGATCATCTCTCGACGATGCTACCTACAGAAGGAAATTTTGTCCTAACCATGAGGAAGTAAATAAGATTACTTTTTTCCTCTAATGTCTACAGTTTTAATTTAATTATTAACCCCAGCCATCATTTGAGTGACCTCAGATCATTCCAAATCTACTCATCTACTCATATTTTTTAATATACTCAATCAACAAACCTTGTGTGACTATTATATGCCAAACGCTCTCCCAAGACTGGAATAGGAAAGGGAATAAGAAAGATGATGCAATTTATGCCATTGTGGAGCTTGCATTCTTTGGGACGAAGTTCATCTAAAAACAAATAAACAAAGAGAATTGTTATTTTTATGATTATTCTGTTTTTATTCTTGAAAAATTACTGAGTGCTCCAAAGGGAAAACATTAAGATCATATTATAATTGTGACTAAGCTGAGTTACTGGATCACCAAGAAAATGCCTTTTTAAGGGATGATATTTAAGCTGCATGCCAAAGAATAAAAAGGAATAATGTATGAAAAAAAATCCTGGAAATAATGTTCTAAAAACAATAGCACAGCAAGTGCAAAGGTCCTGTGGCAAGATGAAGCTTAAGTACATTCCAAGAACCAAAAAAAGCTAAAAGGTTAGTCCACAAGATCATATACAAATTTACACTAGCTGGTTCCTAACTTCAACTTTACTTGGATATTTTCTTGCAATGAGTTAGACATTATGTATTAATATCATCCAAAAGAAATATCTGGTTTGAAATTACATTGGAAATTCTTCCTGGACTCTTGACAAGGGTACAACACTATTAAAGATCACAGCCATCATTTTCAAAAGCTTAACTCTGGCAATCACTGGCGGACATTTAACAGGGGTGTTTAATATCCTCCGTCAAATATTGGGCTGGGAAGAACAAACATACTAGCATGTCTCTAATGTGAACTCAGTGTCTCGCAATTGAAAATTGGCTGGAGCTCACCCTGCTGACTGCTTTGCCAGCAGTCCAGCATTTAAAGCCTTGAATTCCTGTCCATTCATCTGTACTTGTGTTTATGTCTCTCACTTAAGCAGTTTTCAACACACTTCTGTGGTTCTTTTGATATAGTGAACGTGCAGGTGTATATCTGACTATGCCAGGGACTGTGTCCAGATCTGGTCTTTATTGCTAAAACAGACATCTTTGAATATCTGAATCACTACACATGCCATATTTACTCTTGTGTAGGTAGGCCAATTTTCCTCCAGCTAGAGATATTTTAAAATTATTTCTCCCCGCTTACTCCTCCACTTTCCCCCATTGCTTATGCTAAATAATTCAGTGCACTACTCCAAAAGTGAATGTGAGTCACCCAACCCATCTATATTCTTTCAGGGTTAGAGGGAAGGTCAAAAAATGCAGGAAAAGGAGTCTATACCCAAAAGACTTAGAGCAACACTCTAGCTATCCATCTCAATAGATCAAAATAATTGCTTCAACTGGACCAAGATTTTATTTTTATCTCATTTCCTGAAGAAGAGACACAATTTTGGGGAGACTCAACAAGGGAGTGAACAGTTCACTGCAGCTAGCCTGCTTCTAAAGTGTCCTCTGCAGCTCAGGTTTTGAATCCTTTGTAATTATGAATTAAAAATCCATGTGTTGCGTAATGCATTTCTGGAAAAATGCCCAAGACACATATGTGCTCTATGCACACCTAACACTAACATTAATCTAATGAGTGGTATATTAGAAAAATGATTTGTGTACATCCTAATGGAAAGCATATTTTCTGAGTGAAGCTTCTGGATTGAAATGCAAAAAAATCACTCCATCCCGTAAACATAGCTTGCAGCTACCACATCAACCAATAAGATAAGTTAGTGCACCTCTGCAGAAGGCTGAGTGATTGCTCCGTCTTGTTGCCCAGGAGAAAGCATTTTCCAAATCCCATGCAGGTGTCTAAGAGAGACTGAGTGAAAGAAAAGGAACTGTATTCTGTCCCTTTTGAGCCTCTGAATGACTCTTTTCGTATATGAGATTTTTTTTTTCTTTTTAATACTAATACATTTTTCAAGTGCAACAAAACCTAAGTCCCTGTTTATCCCAGGGGTTGATTTGATTAAACTTGATACATCACATTGTGACTGGCTTAATATTTTACTCCAAAAGCTATATCATCTTTTATCTTTTATTTATTGTAATCTTCATATTCATTTCTCAACTGAGGCCGGTACTTTAGGGCGAGCTGGCATTGATCTGTAATCTTTTTTCTGTCCCTTTTTGTAATGTATACTTTTTGATCCTTAAGAAATAGCACTGACAGGAGATTTTTTTAAAAAAGAAAAAAATAAGAGTTTGAGATTGGGGGTTCTTTTTAACCTTCTAAAGACAGAATCAGCTTTTGTCACCAAGTAGGTGACTTGGCTTTAAATAAAATCATTATCCCATTATTTATTTTATAGTGCATTTTTCTTCAGAAGAGGTGGAGGCCAAGTTGAATGTTTCATGTAGCTGACTTCTGATTATTAACAGATGAGGGTGAGAAGCTGCTCTAAAGAGAGGCTTAAATGACATAGGAGGTGAGAAATCAAATGCTCTTTGCCAAGTACAAATGAATTTATAGGTAGAACCTAGTCAAGGCCAATAGATTTATAATTGCATTTTAAGGAATCTAAATCTCATCTAGTTGTCCTGAAAAGCAGCCAAAAAAAATTGCAAATCAAGGTATATGCAGAACTCAGCTGTCTGGCAGCCATAACAGCCCTGTTTCTCATATCACAAGATGCCAGTAGGGGCAAAGTGGAACTTGAAACTGGGAATTCAGAGCCACTTTGGAGTTCAGAGCAGCTTTGGGGCTCAGCCATCCAGATTAACGCATGCTGGAGGTGCACCAGAGCCAAAAGCTGAATTTAGGCTGTTAGAGATTCAAACAAAATTAACCTATGACTCTTCAGCTTCCTTTTTGAGGTCTACTTGCTGCTCCTTAAGGCCTTATTTTCTCCACAGCTAGTGTTCTTTTTTTTTTTTTGAAGACAGGCAGAGGAAGAGGTAACTAGCTCAGGTTAAACTGCTGTCAGAGGCTCAGTCAACTGAGACCACAGCTAGGGCTGTTGAGGCCACTGCTCAGCCATGATAAGGAATGAAGACTTTCCTGTAAGAATCAATTAGTGTTTGTTTCTTAGGAGAATTGTGATTCAAAGCTCCCGGCACGATTGTTCACTTGGTTTCTGGTGCTAATGTAGTGTAGCTTAAAGGACCATTTCTTTTATATTGTCGGGCAATAACACAATCTGAGGATCTGTTGTTTTTCTTGCAGAATTTAAAAAGATCTCACAAATGTATTGGTTTAAGAAATAAGGAGTATTGCTTAATCCGGTCGTGATTTGCTTAAGAATCAAGGAGTAAGAATGTTGCAGTATGAGAAACTGACATCTGCAAACAGCCTCTTCCATTTCTACCCCCATCCGAAATATACCACCTCCAGCCAGTCCAAAGCTCCATGGCACTCTTAACACAGGAGCTTTTTCATTACCGAATCCCAGACACTCCATTCAATTATTAAAGGACGTCCTTTATATTTATTACAGAGTGGGCTGATATTGCTACCAATTGTCGAATATTTCGGTTCCTGTGGTTTGATTTCATGCATGGAGGAACACACAGCTGCTGGCGGACGCCAACTCCACAATCTCTCCAGGCTGCCTCGACTCAGGATATGTAAAGTAGCGGATAAATTGGAAGATCATGACTTGTTCCTCCTGCCGCACAGCTGCTATGGAGAAGATAATATGATGGATCACTATAAATAAAAGATAAAAGATGATATGGCTTTTACAGTGTAAATATTAAGGCTGGACACAATTCGCTGGAGGAATCTAACACCAAGCTGAGCAGATAAACCCTGTAAGGCCTTCACACCACTTTCTGAGAAATCGTTTGAGAAAGACAGATCACAGCTGAAGTTGAGAAGGGTCTCTTTCATAGTCTGTAGAGAGAACAGTCAGGAACATTAATGAACATAGAATCCTTCTCTTTCTATGTCACAGAGTTTTGGGTCAAATGGGATTAAGAGATTATTTACTTCTGTCACTCATTTTACATGAGAAAACTGAAGACACAGACTGACTGGTTTGCGGAGATTTTGCAGCTAGCTGGTTTTACAGAGCTTGCTCATGGACGTCAGTTCAATCCTTGTTTATCAAGCACCTCCTATCACAAGGCTCTTATAAA